GGTGAGATTTGAACAGCCGAACTGCAGAACTGCAGTCAGCTGAAGTAGCCTGCAGTGCTGCATTTAACCACTACGCCACCTCGGCTCTAGATGTTGACCTAAACTGATCTTTGGTCTGATACATCAGGAACTTTATTATGCTCGGAGTCAAGAGTATATAGCTTTCATCAGCTCAGATCATATTGAGATTTGTGGCACATATCAATAATTAAATTCAAGAACTGAATGTCCCAAGATCCAAGGTGGGCAATCTTAGGGATGGAATGATGTGTTAAAGAGTACAGTGTTGTTTCCCATTTTGGGCCTTAATTCATCCAAGCTTCTAAATAAATTCTTATACAAGAGAAGAATCTGAACATTATATGAACATTATATACAAAGGAGTCTGAATATTGTGTTAAACTCAATCTGCATCAGACTCAGGACATTACACCTGACATAAGGAGATATTAACTCAAGCCAACTAGTACAATATTGATTATTTCAAGTACATGGTTCCATTGAGTACAATAACTACATGGCATACCCTCCAACTTCACCTATTCTACCAGTACAGTGCTGGTTATTCAGGGCTAGTACTGGGTACATTCTTAGCTACGCTAGTTTTCCTTGTGCCTCCTGTCCAGTCCTCCTGCTAACCCTGTAGTAACGCCTTTTCCTTCCCATCCATCTCCTGCTAGAACCACCCCATTCCCTTTTTGACCCCAGCTACCGCAAGGCATGTGGAGGGCCCCGAGCACCCCAGCCTTGCGCTATCTGAAGTGTGTGCCTCATTAACATCGGAGGGTATGGCATGGATGGAGTTGAAATAGTTGGTCAAGGTGATGTGCTGTGTTTGTATTGCAGGTGATGGGAGTAGTAGGACCTTCCAGTGTGGCCGATGGATTACCCCTTCTTCATCTCAGCCCTTATCTCTCACCACCTCTACCCTTCAGCACAGCTGTTGTCCGGCTTGTAGCATTGCAGATCCAGGTGTGACTGCCTTGCCTGTTAGACAGGCTTTGCTTCTTATGTGGTTGAGGCACCAGTTCACTGGTGTCCTTTCGTTTTCTGCGAAAGCTGGGCAAAAACTGTGAGGCAAAGTTCATACTTCCCCTTACTTAATGCTGAAGTTTCAGGTTCACCGACAAATGCNGCAAGGGTCTTGTAACTTGACAGCTTTAAGACTTGCGTGCTTCAAATCCCAGAGTTTCTGAGCCAACATTTTGGTTGCTAAGCAAGAGCGTTGTTCAGTGAGTTTCACCATATTTTACAAGTTGGCCACGCCCACCCAGTCACATGGCTGGCAAGCTACTCCCACCCAGTCACATGGCTGGCAAGCCACTCCCACCCGGTCACATGGCCGGCAAGTGTTGTAGCCTCGTAAGTCCTCGGACTTACGAATGACAGCTCGGCAGCAGCCAGGCGCATCTTAGCCAATCAGACCCGCCTGCCGGTTGCCGGGCTGTCATACGTGAGGCTATTGGTTGAACTATTTGACAGCCGAGTATAAAAGGCTGTCAGACGAAGGAGAGGCAAGCCACTCCCACAAAGCAGGCCACACCTACAGAAGAGGTTCTAAAAAAAATTGAAACCCACCACTGTTTCTGGATATAACCTCACATCGATAGCATTGTTACATGATCTCCATTGCTTCAGTCTTCAGATGCTGATGGTCCTTGAGGCGCTCGTGCCCTGTTACTTGCAGAAACTGAAGAGGCAGACCTCCCAAGTGGAAACTGTGACAGCTGCTCGAGAAGAGATTGCTGCGACCGCAGCTCTAGCGACATCCTTGCAAGCGCTTTTGTACAGCGTGGAAGTTCTTACTCGGTAAGTTACATCACTTACTTGCCATGACCTTGGCAAGGGTCCAAGGAGGAAGAAGATGGAAATTTTATGTTCCTGCCCACGGTGAAAACAATTTTCATGCCATTATGCGTTTGTATAATGTATGTAGGTACAAGAACGAGAATTTAAAGGAGCAATATTCACATCTGCATTATAAAATATAGAAGGTTGCATTTATTTATTTGAAAATTAAGTCCTCACCAAGTCTATTTCACTCGAAATTAGGCCAGAGGTGAGGGAGAGTGTCAAAGCAGGATCTATCTGATGAATTTTAATCACAGATTAATTAATTCAGATTCAGCATTTGCCATCCAGAATGTATTGTTCTCCTTTTCCGGAAAGTTATACAGTGACATTTAATAAAGGTAAATGCACGTAAAGGCAAACAGTTTCCTAAGTTGAGCTTGACTCTTGAGACATGTATGAGTATTGTCATTTTGGAGTTGCCTATTTATGGCATGATTATTCATTTGTTTGTTTACTTATTTAGTTCAAACTATCTCCTGTATCGCCACAGTTTCCTGGAGTTCTCCTTCCCAAGTCTGTCCCTCTTAGATTTTTCAAGATCAGCCAAAAAGACTTCTATAGACTTCTATAACACAAAAAGACCAATGAGGGTACATGGGGCTACCCCTGAAAAGCGTCCGGAGACTACAGCTAGTCCAGAATGTAGCCGCGCGAGCGATATTGGGTGTACCAAGATACTCCCATATTACACCTATCCTCCGTGAGCTGCACTGG